GGGGGTTGAGGCCAAGCATTTTATTTAGCACACATCTCCACCCTGCACCGCACAGTCAGGACAGCACCGGGCTCTAACAGTGTGCAAGATGCAAGTTGTCAGGATTAGTAAATGTTTGATTCTTTCAAGTGGTCTCACCTTGTTGTTACAGGGGATGGCAATGTCCACATATCTCAGCGGGGAGTCAGTGTTGCACAGGGCAATGGTGGGGATGTTGACGTAGGAAGCCTCAGTTAGTGGCTGATGGTCAGCACGAGGGTCAGTCACAATCAGGAGACGGGGCTCCCTGAAAGCTGCCTGGATCTGATTGGTGAATGTACCAGGGGTGAAGCGACCGTGGAAGGTGGTGGCACCGGTGGCAGAGGCGAACTTTAGCACAGCTCTCTAAAGTGGCCAGAACGAACAAGTATACTCAAGATCTCAGTGAAATTACTAATTTATCTGATAAATTGAACTGTGGCTCAGGTCACTATCAAACCCCAGTCATGGGACGACAGTCCTCATGGTGTTAGCGAAAACCCGGCCGGCTCACTCTTGCACACTTCCGACACCTGAACACCGACATCGGTGCCCGGCTTTAACAGAGTGCGTATCATAGCTCAAATAATACCACTGTAAACCCACTGTCCAGAACAGCAGTGACTCAGTGCAACAGAGCATCAATTTACGCAGCCATCCGTTTTAACTTTACCTGTCCAGTGTTCCTGGAAGAGATGACGCAAACGTCAGCCGGGTTTTCAATGGCAACAATGGCCCTGGCAGCGAGCAACAGCTTCTCCCAGGTCTTCTTCAGGTTGATGATGTACACACCTGGTGTGCAAGAAGACAAATTCTTACTTCAATCACCATAAAAACCTTTAACAGCATCGCCGTGGTGGGGGGAGCATTTCCACTCACCGTCACTTTTTCTCTTGTAGACATACTGATCCATCTGGAAGTCTAAGTTGGTGCCTCCCAGGTGGGTCCCTGCAGCCAGGAACTTCAGCACATCCTCCTCCTTCATTTGAAGGACATCCAGACCTCCGGACATCGTGACCACTTTCCCTGCGTTACGAGTTAGATGGGAGAGCTGGGAAAACAGGACGACAAGCATTGGTCAGGAAACCACCAGCTCGTGTCAAGTCGGCCCATATTCTGACATCATGATCATTATTGATAGATTTTTTTAATTTAAATTTATGAGTCTTGCAAAAAGGACACTCATGCAGCACAGGAGGCATTAACGACAGGCATCCGGGTAACAGAGGCCTTTAAGAGCGAATAACCACAATTCAAACCATGTGTGGACCCACTTGGTCTTTTACAGATTTAATAACATTTGTCACCATTTCCTCTGGGTAAGCTGCGACCATTAAGTCAAACCCGCTTTTTAGAGTCGGGCGCGAGGGGAACACCGCGAGATGAGCGCGTGTCAATGGCTAGCAAGTTAGCTAACATGTTAGCATTATCTGCTTTAGGATAAATTCACACGATATCGGCGCGACAAACAGGATTTATGTTGTCTCGCTGTGTACTTTACGGTTAGTCTATCATTACATCGTGCTCTTTGCGATGTTTAAAGATGTATTACAATTGAATAATGCATTTTTAAACTCACCACGAAACAACGCCGTATGGAAGTCTGACCACACGGTGAAAAGAGGACGCTGGGAGGAAATGACGTGTTATAAATACCACATTTCCAGGCGTGTGATTGGTTGGTTATTGTGAATGTAGTTCTGCAGGTTCGCCACTAGATGAGGTTCATCTACATGTCTACGAGGTTTACGCCATGTCCTGTAATGATGGTAGCAGAGGTAACCAGAGGTTGGACCGCGGGTCGGATGGGTATCCCATATTAAGACAATGGAGATGGAAAGACCATATTAAGACAATGCTGAGACGCTGAGTTCTGACCCGTGTTGCAACCAGCTATATTTGCTAGAGATAAAGAGTTCCAGGCAAAGGGAACATAATATGTACACAATGACACAGTCAGTTGAGAAATAATTTTAGTGAAACTGAAACGCGTCTTATGTCCATAAAGTTATTATACTATAATCCTAAAAGAACACTTTAGATTTTAATAACGTCAAAGGAAAGACTCCCAGGCAGATATGTAGGACATGGCAATGATGTGTTGATTCAAAACTCAGATTTGGGTTAATGTCAAGGACATTAGAGGCGATGGATGTTACAAATGAGGATTAAAAAAAGGGAGTTGTATAAAATGTTTTGGAGCTGTTTTCTGGGGGAAATCCAGGTTGTCAACACATTCAGTCTTTTTGGTCAGTGACCCTGAAGTACTTCAGAATTGATTTATTAGGATCCCTCAAGGCAAAGACATTGGCTGCACGTCATTTTGTATTCAAACTATGCCCCATACTTCTGACACAAATTCGCACACAGCTTGTTAAAATGATGAGGCGCCTATTGTCAAGAAGTTTAGAAGACAAAGATTATTCTTCCAAAATCTCCTATTATTTACATAAGGTTTGTGTGTCTGATGAAGTGAAAAGACAATATCTGGAGACTAAATCCAATCAAAAGTAAAAGGAATGAGTCTTTCTCAAGTATTGTAGTGTATATGTATCTGATCTTTAACGAATACTTAACTAGGCTATTTTAGTAGATAGCTCCCCCTAAATATCTTAATGTCTTACTTTAGCCTGACAATCCTGCACATGTCCTATTTGATATTATGTCACCACCCCCTGTACTGCTTATCTCTGTCTCACAGTGCTGTGATAAGTCTTTGGCCTTTATGTTCTGGCAGTCCACTGCGATATGCTGAGCAATATGTCTTTCTAATCTCTTTGACAGTTTTACAGAGTCAGCCATTGTTTTATATTCTGTCCATTAATAAGAGAAAAGTATCAAAGTTCATATAGTGCAGTTTGGGTACCTGAACTTGAGTTTTTAAGTCAGAAACATGCACCAAAAGTAGTTATCAATTCTGCTATTGGTCCTTTCCACCACTGCTAACTAAATAAGCAAAGATAACCAAAAATATCAATATTGTGTCTCTGGCTGCCTATTTCTGCTTCTGCACGCAAGGAGGACGCATGTGAAACGCAGTGTTGAAATAAGCTTGTTAAGTCTGCCGGGGGCCAAGAATATTCATATTTGCACTACAATATTACTGAGGTTAGCCAGGATTCAGGCACCAATGTGAGGCTGTCACTTCCCGTTGAATCAATTGACAGTAAAAATATGGGTACACAAAAATTAATCTTTCACATGAGTATATTGTACAGTGTTTTTTCTTAAACATCCTTAAGAAGGTAGCATATTTAAGTTACAATGGTAAACAACAAATATTTAAAAAATGTTACATTTTAAAGGCAGATGAATATACCAAGTAAAAATTGCATGCATATATTATTTCGTTTTACAAATAATATAGCAATATATTATATATGCCTCTACAGCTTTCAAAGCGTGTCTTGACAGAACTGATGGGGTTAAAGTGCATTACAGAAGTCCGAGCTGTATCTGGGACACTGTCTTGAGTAATTAAGGATTGCACCACTGCAGGAGAGGCAGGAATTCCCACTGAGGCATTTTGAAAACGTAGAAAATCTCAATGATTGACGGGTTCCAAATACTCATTAAGGATCAGATTTTTTTAACAACTTGTAGTGCAATACAGAACATCACAGCATACCTATATGAAATATTTTCTTCAGAGTTACTAAACACAGGCCAAAAATCTGGTTCCTGAACTTCAGCCATAACCCAGGAAAGCACATTCTCCACACCACTCTTGTAATATGTGTTAGTCATTTAGACAACATGTGGATGCTTTCTTTGCTCTCCAGTCTTCATCTCTTGTTGCAGTGACATATGTAAAGCCACTGAAAGCCTTTGACACTTATGAGCAAAACAAGATTAGGTGAATCTCTACTGTAGCCTTTCCTTTCATGCTCGTTACCGTCTTCACACTGTGACTTGACTTTTATCTCTTGCAAGTTTTTCATCAACCCCCTTCAAGACTTTAATCCGAAACGGGCCATCATCTGCTCGTACACCGTCCATGCCATGGCGGCCATCATGGTCCTCCTCAGTGCCCGTGGAACTGCCCCTCTTAAGAACCCCTGGAGTCCATGTTCCTGAGCGAGAGAGGACAAGGTGGAAGAATAAAGACAGGCGCCACATTTAATCATTAATAGTATTGCACAGTTGGTCTGTTCAACTGGATTTCCCCAAATGCAACTGATGCTGGTCATGAAATCCTGAAGAGCAAGATAATAAAGAATAACACATATTTTGACCCGACTATGTAAAAGAGGAGTGAGCTAGTTACCGTATAGATGTATCTGACAGCCTCCGCTGTCCTCAGCTGTGGATTGACTTGGACGTGTGTTTTAACCACATCAGCAGGCTGCGTGATCAGGGAGGCCAATACACCCGCCAGGATCCCACAGCTAAAGTTAGCCAGGGGGGCGGAAGCAGACGTGCTGATTTCTTGAGGGAAGATGGACATTAGGTATTTAATTGTAATAGATATTAAAAACAATTACTATTTAGTTTCAGGCTTTTAAATGTAAAGAAAAAATACAGCTTAAAACGAGACCAACAGCTACTGTTTTTTTGTGTCAATTATAACATGCTGCTGGTTATTCCTGAAGGGCCTCTTGTGTGTACCTTTTGGCAACGAGGCCTTGGTCTGGCTGTAGAACATGACGTAGATACCAGAGAAAGGAACATCTCTGAGGAGGGTGGCCATCAGGCCAGAGAACAGAGCTGCAGGACCTTCAGCCTGACACACACTGCGCAGAGCCCCGATCACACTCCCATAGCTGTACCTGCCGCACTGAATCACAAAACACACATTTAGTTTAGTTTAATACGCACATAACACATTTGTTCAAATACAGACAACACACAAAACTAAAAACATTTTGTGCATTGTAGCATCTTCTTTAAATACAGACTGCTGTTTGCATTGGCGAAAGTATCTGTATAATATTGATAATTCAATAACCATCTCAAACTCCCAATCAAATGTTTCAATTGAATGAAAAAAATACTGTAAGACATGCTGGTGACAAAAAGGTTGAGAACCACTAGTTGAAGTTGTGGTATTGCAGCATTCAGGGAAAATCTATTTCTCATGAACTGTGATAACAACACACACATACGCACGCACAGGTCTGCCTGTGCTTACTTCAAAGCGTGTCTTGATGACAGTGACCGGCAGCATGAAGACCCCTGCCACAGTCCGGGCCCCGCCTCCCAGCAACACGGCCTCCATGGCCCCCGGCCTGCGGTCCTGGAAGAAGTGTTGCTTTAAAGAGTAGTAGGTGCTGAAGTAGATCCCCACTCCTGGGATGGTCCGGACAAAGGACTAGAGGAGCAGATGGACGAGAGAGCAGAATGAGAAAAGGGGAACTCTGAAGCTGGTGAATTTGTTCACTTTTTTGGATACACAAAGAAGGGAGAGACAGAATTAAGAGGTTCTAACCGGTGAAATTCCTTTCCACAGTCCAAGAAGCCTCTCCGTCCGCACCACGCTCTGGAGCACAGCCACCATCCCCACTCTGCCCGAACTGAAAAGGTCGTCGATGGTAAATAATCAATACTGCGTTCATGTGTGATGCAAGATTTAGCTGAGGCAAACCTTTTTTGTGTTCATCCAGTCAATATTGCAGTCAGGGGTCACAAGGCAGCTAGTGATACTGATAACTCTGTGTGTGTGTGGGTGTGTGTGTGTGTGTGTGTGTGTGTGTGTGTGTGTGGTACAGACTCACCCAGGCTGCTTGCCACTCTGCAAAGTCTGCAGACGGGTCTTGACCAGGTCGAGAGGTTGGAAAAGCAGTGTGGAGCAGGTCCCACTGAGGGAGCCGCACATGAAGGCTTTGATAGCTGGGTGAGCCTGAGGGGAGGAGGGGGTGAGAAGTGAAAGAGAGGGAGGATTTAATGAAAGCTTGACAGGAGGTAGCTAATAATCACTTGATTTACAGCATTAGCACTGTGTGCTAAAATTGTGCTACAATTACATGCTGTAGTAGTGATACCATCAGTGAGTCAAGTATCTGTTTCCAAATAAATGTTTGTGTCCTAAAATTACAAAAATTACTAAAGTATTGGTTCTTTGAGGGTGTTACACCACTGTTGTTTTTTTGGTCTGCTGGTTCCTATAAATTATGTCAGGCCAAAAATGACCCATGTAGCTGTGATGCAAGCATATTTTTACAATCAGAATATTATATAAAAATATTTACAACACAGGTTAAAATAACCTTTTAAATCTAGATTACATTGTGCTTGACACTGAAATTTTAACTCCATGTTGCTTTGTTATTCACACTCAGTCCCCCCTCCCAAATCACTTAATCTGCAGCTCTACAACCACATCTGGACTCCCGGCGGTCAGAAAAAGGAGGCTAAAGTTAGTCATCAGTATGTCAGAACAGTTTTATCGGACAGACAGTGTGCCCTGATCTCGAGAAAAGGCTCAACAACAAGGATGACCCTTATGTTTAAACCTCATCACTTAAATATCAGGTTCACAAAAGTGTACATAATTGTTCCGGCTGAAAAACTCACCAGTGAGAGCTCCATAGCTCTTCAGCACGATGTCTACTTTTTTTTGCCCAACCCAAAAACTCTTCTGTTTTTCCTCCTTTGTCAGTCTTTCACTCCTGTAGTGCTGAAATGAAAAAAAAAGAGGCACAATGAGAAGTGGCCTCTCAGTGATGGGGTTTCTCGCTGATGATGGAGCATGTGCACAGTCCTGCTGTCTGGGTCAGGCTGCAATGATTACACACACACACACACACACACACACACAGCAGGCTAAATATTACTTGTCACCTGACGGACACTGTGTCCCCTATTTGTGACCACCCAACACACAGCTATTCATTAACTAACCAAAGATCACTGTGCTGCATATTAGGATGTCCTGGTGCCTGTTTTGAGTGAATTTGAACACACAATGAACTAATGTAGTGTGTGTGTGTGTGTGTGTGTGTGTGTGTGTGTGTGTAGAAAGCATGAGCACTGGAGTTATCTGGCTAAGGATGGATTCAGCACAGGGTGGGGGGGTTCTCTTGTCTGAACAATGTCTTGGTTTGTTGTCTCCAGACAGATGTTTGTGGGGTTTAATCCCACACCTGCACTTTTGGTTTATACTTCAGTAAGACTCCATGAAGAATAGAAGATAAAAGGAAATGAAAGGTGTGAAGTGGCTGGCAGACATTGCCTAACAACACCAATATCATTTAATACATTCACAGGCTACAGACAGACAGAAATCAGTCAAAGACCAGGTGTGCGGTCTTGTCATCACAATATGATTATTCTTGTTCTGCTGTTGAAATGTTACACAGCATGATATATTATTATTATTTAATTATTAGTAAGTTATATAACGTCCTTACCCTCTCTAACCTGCCTCCTCAAATCTTATGGGGAGACTGACATCACGAGTCTGAAGCCGTTGGTCAGCTACTAGGATAACTGAGTAATTGTCAAAAGGGTCCAATAAACCAAAAGGACACGGTGAGGGTTGTTATTAAAAGGTGCAGTCTTCTTCTTGTGGCAGGGCAGCGGCTCCGCACCTTACTGTTCTGTCGCAGTCAAGTTTCCTCTCCGTCGAGGGTCCGAGAAACAGCAGCAGCCACGTTAATGAACGCGAGTTCTTCTGAGCGACACACCAGGACCTCGGCCGTCACAGGAGCTTTATGCTGCAACGTGAAGGATGGTCCAGTGGGCGTCTCACTGAAAAGTTAACCGGCCGGGTCCTGTTTGACGACGCGGCGTGACGCCACAGCCCGGAGCTGCTGGCTCCTGATAGGTCAACCAGCTGACCGGGACGTGATTATGAAACTTGGTTACTCTTTCTCAAAAACTCAATTTAGGCAGAACAAATGTGTGTTAGTCGATTACAAAACTTCACCCACAAAGTGAGGATGAGACTGATAGATAACTGTAAATATCCCAAATAGCTTGATATTCAGAAGTGAAGAAACTATTTCAATTCTGTACCCGAGGTAATGTAAACACTACCACCAAAATGACTGTATTATAAGTAAAAGACAACTTTACTTCAGTAAAAATATCGTTATAAGCGAAAGTGGGAGAAAGCAGAGAGAAGCAGAGGCAGCAGAATCACTTTGTCGCAGACCCAAGGAGAACAAAAGCCTGTGTTGGTGATAAGAGCCTGAGACAAAATGGAACAGACAGAGGAAAGTAGAGCATGGACACTGGAGACAGAGGCGGGGAAAAAGGAAAAGACATATACTGTAGAACAAAATGCACACTGATATGCACATGTGAAAACACAAGCCATATCTGACACGTGTAGCTGGTGGTTTAGTATATGCGTGTGAACAGGGATGGAGTGATGCACCAGTTTAAAGAGCCATAACAGCTCTCTTAAGCAGAATGCCCACCCTCCACCTTTTCTCGTTTTCCTCTCCCCTCCTCTCCTACCCCCCGGGTTTCAATGAGCTACACCTCAGAATGAGCTGATTACATGCCTCTCTAAAGCTACTGATACCATCGGGACAGGAATTACCAGAGGGGTAAACACACACATGCGCGCACACCGAACAGATAACCCCGACTTAAAAGCATACCGTATTTCTGCTTGTGAGAGAGAGGGGAAAATAGGGAGGGTGATAAAGAGACATGTGGAGGGGTGGGTGTGTGAGCACCGTGTGTTTGTGTGCGTCCACACATACATAAACTCACTAGTGCTTCCTGTGTCAGCTAAATTGGATAAATTGTTAGCTGGATGGTGGGACAGTGACTTATTACTATTTCACCTGTGCAGGCAGTGTGAAAAACAACTGATTATGGTCTGGTCAACATGCAGCAAATGGCAGCAGTCCATGCTGTTTGTCTGTGTGTGTGTGTGTGTGTGTGTGTGTGTGTGTGTGTGTGTGTGTGTGTGTGTGTATCTCTGCCTCTGTTTCCCATCACATCAAGTGTTTGCTTCTGCACCTTACTCAACTCAATCCCATTGAGTCACTTCCCACTTGTGTCATCATTAATTACCTCCACCTTATCTGGGCCAGGTGAAAAATCAATATATTTATTTTCTTAAAGGCCATCTCCTAGTCTGTTTTTGAGGACAGCCGGCGTGGCGGGCCGATGTGGGAGTCATTAATTGAAGGTTGTTATCGGGCGCGGTGCCGTCCAGATCGGCTTTTCTCTTTCTCGACACGTCGCACTCCGCGGCAGCTCCGAAGGGAAGGTGACTTTTAAGAAGAGAGATACTCATTGAATGACAGCAGCGGCAGAGAGAGAGAGGGCTTGGATTTGGTGGAATGTGTGTGAATGTGTTTACTTGTGAGTGAGTGAGTGAGTGAGTGAGTGATGTGCATATGCATACCTACACATTAGCACTCCATGGTTAAAGAGTGCGCCTCACATTCTTCAGTGTCCACGTATTAGTATTCAAACACACACACCAATGCACAGACACACACGAGTTTGCTCTTTATTTTTGTAGTGGCATTGATTTTGGCGAGCAGCTGCGATCCATCACGCAGCGTGGCCTTGATGTTTTGACTTGATGGTATCTCTCTGGTATCGCTGCAGTGACGTGTCATTATTTACTGTTGCCGTGGGATGCGTGGGTATACATTAATTAATCAATATGAGGCTATTCTTCCCATGTTGTCCCCTAGTCCACCACATATGGGCTCCCTGGCTAGACGGATGAGGAGAGGAGAGGGCAGGGTGACTACAGAAATACTGTGCTTTCTGCAAATACCAGTTTCACTAAGACGGAGCACTAAGGAACAACTCCTTGCACAACCACTCACTCGGTGTAGCTTTAACGTTTAGAAAGCACTTTTTAGATATTACAAAAAGAAGCCATGCATTTCTAAATTCAGGAATAGCTCACTAGCAAGCCAACAGGTGAGAGGTTGCCAAATCACTGTAGCAATGATTCACAAAATAAATAAAGTGAAATTAAGACAAATATTTAGGACCTGATTTTCCAAAATGATCTATTAAGCAGCTACAAATAACTTTGAAAGACTCTCAACTTTCATTTTGGAGCTACCTTAAAGATATGCAAGCACCGTTTGTTTTTATAAATCTTGTAGGTTGTGTTAACTCAAATAATAGGTTCTGATCAGTTTCTGCACATCCAAAATGTACAACATCTATGCTCATACTGTATGGGTCAATCAATCGGCCACGACATGGGCACTCACACTGAGCTTAAAAATGTAACCCCTGGTTGGTTTTGTCCACTGACAATTCCAATAAAGTTGATTTGATCAAGATGAACACATCCTCCAAAGTGTTGACAAGAAAGAGAAAGGCAGCCTTATACTTTGTGCAACTCTACTATGAACAGAAAGCACGAAGAAAAAACAGAAGAAAAAACCTGGCGCCGCAGATGGCTGGAAGATGCAGACAATATGGTGTGTCTGTTCTGCGGCAAAGTTCAGTTTTTATTTCTATCACACCACAGTCTCAGTCAAGACTACAGTAGCAACAAAGTACTGCTCCAATATTATTTAAAAACTAGATCGCAGCCATGTGGCTCAAGCTGCGCGACAGATGACTTCAATGACAAGTGATTCTAAAATTAGTTGGGTGCTGCCCACAGAAAAAGGCCACGCTATACTATCTATAGATATAAGTACCTGTGCGTGTAACTAGTGTAGGCCTTTTCTGCATGCTTACCCTCAGTGGCAGGAAACAACGTTTTTCCTTCAGTTTTAGTCTCAGCCAGCTTGCCGGTCCTCAGCAAAACCTCAGCAAAGTTTTCCTGAGGCACATCTTTGTAGGACTTGTACACATCTTGACTCTAAAGGAAAGAAGGGACAGGAGAGGGTGATAAATAACTACCTAATAGTTATTATTGCACCGAGCGAATCCCAAAAGCGGGGAGCGCAGATCGGAAAATGACACAGGGAGATGTGATTAAGGTGACTGAGCGTCTTAATTTCCAGTCAGACAGATGAGAGACGGAGTAAACAAATGAACTTCAGAGCCCAATGAAGCCTTTTAACGCAGGGCCTTTTGATAATTCATTTATAGGATTCTTGTATGCCAAGTTAATTCTAAAGTGTCTGAGAGGTGAACAATGACGTTTGTGCTCTCGCCGGCCTCAGAGCTCTCGCTTTAGCACGCAGTGTTTCTTGTCTTTCTTCGCCGCTCTTGCTCTATCCATCTTTCTGTCTTGTTGCATTTGTCTCTCTTTCTCTCTCAATCAGCCTGTCCTCCCTCACCATTTCCTTCATTGGAAGTGTTAAGGTAAAAACCAATCCCATTGATCAGCCGGCTCATAGACAGATGGACGCGGGGAGCCATTATTGGTAGATGGATGATGGAAGATGGATGAACGTTGGAGATGGAGCGGAGGAAGGGATTTGGAGAGGCCTATTAAAATGTCATGAGAAGAGATGTATCGGCCTTCTCTGTTTCCCCCCGCGTCCACTCTTTTAGCTATCCACATGATTTGTGTCTCGGAGTAAAAAGCCCAGTCAGAGCCCAGGGCAACCATTTTATAGGCATAAAGGTCAAACTACTCCTTTTCTTACTTTTGTTCTTTTCTACATCCATAACTCCTTTCATCAATATTCTTTCCTTTAGGATTTTAATACTTTCACCTCCCCCCCCTCCATCTAATGCATACAGTATAATTCTGTTGTTTTTTTTTTAAAACTACATCTCCGATTTTGTTTGCCGTTAACATACCATCCTTCTTAAGTTCATCCGTCTTTTCCTGCAAAGTACCGTTAGTACTTCCAAATTGCTTTTGGCATTAAAATGACTTAGTCTGAAATCAATATTCATTTTGTCTCAACACTGTTTTTGAAGGAATTTATGAGTTATAGGACAAACAAAAATCTAATTAAATGCCTTAAGTCATAAACCTACTCAGGCATTGTTGCTGTAATTTAAGAAGGTGGCCTGAGGGGGAAAAAAGGAGGAGAAATAAGAAGAACAGGAATTTGAAGAGGAAGAAAAAATAATGAGCCGTGAGACACACTGGTTTTAAGCCACTCACCGGGTCTACATAGGGATCATCAATGAGTTCCTGATAAAAGGGGCTGCAGCCTTGACGCTCCAGGTTGGAGTTCTCACACGCCCCTTCCTGACTGGTGGCTCCTGCGCCATGACCCTGAGGAGCCATCAAAACATCATTAAACTTTCACAACATGCCCACAGCACTGTCATCTCTCTCTGTCCCACAGCTCACATCCTCTCCGTTTTTCGCCTTCCTTAGAAACATGTGCACCCGCCACCCGCCCCCCACCACCACCACCTCCTCCCCCGCGCCCCAAATGGCTGCCAAGACCAGAGACGCCATCAATCTCTGCCCCGGCGACCACTGAGCTAGTCCAGCCGCCAGCAAACCACCAGATATTGAAATATTCAACAGTTGGGCCAATTAATTATGCAGGAGATGAGCTCTTGATTGGTTGTTTTTTAGACGAGGCCTGTGAAGTCTGGGAGAAAGAGTGTATGAGATATGGGAGCATGGGCAGACTTGCAAATGTATCTTTTTACACACACTGTCAAACATACATACTGTGCAGCTACGGAAACAACAGCGTTAAAAACAAGCGTAAAGCAAATACATCTGCAGTCATTGTTTTGTTATTGTTGCACACACTACTGTTTATGCATCAATAAACACACATGTCAATACAACAAACTAAAACCACACACATTTAGAACCACAAGTTAGTTAGTTAACTCGACACTTTATTGCCCTTGACTTCTGCTTCACCACAGA